CGGTGTGGGGGTCTTTGAGTGATAGAGGTCCTTGTAGAAGTTTTTGACTATCTCTAATATCCCTTTGCTGTTTGATGTCACCGTCTCCGAGGCCACTGTAGGTCTCAAACCTTCTATTGTGTTAGCTCTTGAATTGGCCTTAATTCGGGCAAAGAAATGTGTTGTCATTGAATCACTGAGCTCATATTCGCACATTTTGGCTCTTATTTGTAGGCCTTTTAAATCCCACCACCTCCAAATAGCCAGTTCCTCCCATGCCTTCTCAAAGATGTCATTATACAGTGGCGAGGAGGGGTTATTTATCAAGTTGGTTTCAGCCAGTTTTAAAGCAAATTCTAGAGATTGTCTCCTTTGCTTCCTGATGGACGCGAGTTTTCTAGAGATTTTAGCCGCAGTGATTGAGAGGGTGGAATAGCTTTTTTGGAACCAGTCCCACCACGACTGTGTACTCAAGCGTGCAGACCTCTGTCCCATCCAGCAGTCATATACCTCCTTTTGGAAGGTTTAGCTGAGTAGGAGGGAGTTGTTAAGCTTGTGGAAACTGACACCCTTTTTTACCACTTGGTCGAAGCATATTAACTAGCTCTATTGGTTTGTGGTCCAGCCCTGTGTAAGAGGCCAGAGGTAGTACCTCCGCACCCTTGACTGCCCCCATCATTATTCCTGACACCAAGAAATAATCAATCCGTGAGAAGACAGTGTGATGTGCATGATTCTTCTTGACCAAGGTGAATGTTCTTTTAGTGGGGTGTAGGGTTATGTATGGTTCTACCAGATTGTGGTCCAGCATCAATTCTTGAATCGGTATTGCTTCTGTTGAATTGACATTGTTGGAGGACCGTGATATACAGTATGTTAACGGGTCCATGGTGGCGTTCCAGTCGCCCGCCAATATATAAGGGGTCAATGGTGGGATCAAATTTCTGAGATTTGTCAGAAAGGTCGTTCTCTCTGTCGTCGAATTTGGTGAATATGTGTTAATCAATATAAATTCCTCTTCTTTCCATTTAAGTTGTAGTAGGCACCATCTTCCTTCAACCAGATCAACTTTCTTGTCTAGAATTGATCCTGCTTTGTATAGGCGAGAGGATTTGGGAATCAGGATTGCGCTCCCTTTGGAGCTTGTGGAGGGGTCTGCTGACCATATTTAGTCTTTTAGGCCTCCTAGTTTCCTTGCCAGGAATGAGCGGATTCTATCATGTTCTATCGAGAAGGTGAGGTGAGTTTCTTGGAGTAGTAGAACATCCACTACTTTTCTATTCTCCATTGTTAACCCTGACAGTAAATCGTTCAGCTTTTCTTCTCTTTCCAATATATTCCCAAGTCCATTGACATTCCAGCTCCTAATGACCAGCCCTTGAGTTCTCCAATCGATGCGATCCCTTGCCTCATTGGCTCTTAGCCTATAGCTCTCCATGGCTATCGTTGTACCGGTTCAGGGGGATTGGTTGGTAGAGAGGTGTCTAAGTTTTGGGGGGGGTCTCAACTCAGTTTCAATGTCGTTGAAATCGTACATGTGATCAAGTGATCCCGTGTCTCGTGACCAGAGAAAAAGCAGATGGGAGGGGGGATTAGATTTAGAGGGTGGAAGAGAAGGTACCCATCAGCTCAACAGATAGAATTCCCTCACAAGTCCACTCCTCCTTCGGGCAACCCCTACTCACCACGTCAGCAGACAATATCCTTTGGCACGCTCTGACAATGAACAAATCTCGTCAAGGCGCACACGGCGCAGTCTCCTCTCAAGACAATCATCAGTGCGCAATGTTGACACAAATGCAGACAGGTAAGCTTTCCTCACATTCAACCAATCTCACAGCCCGGATCCTCGTCCTCCTCTCCAATATCCCATCAATGCAGTAGACAGTGTGGCGAGAGCCATGTCAGCATAATCAGGAATCCAGCTGGCGTCGTATACAGAGGAAGGCGCCAGCACAAAGCAGTAGCTGTCTCGCGTCGTCGTCCAATATCAAGCCAGCATACAGCCAACGACGAGCCAGCGTAGTGTTAGCATCCAGTCAGCATCAAGCCAGCGTCAAGCAGCAAGTGCCAGACTAAATGTTGGTCAGCAGGGGCTGGGTCAACTTAAAGTGTTGACTCTGGTTGACCAGCCTCTGGTCTCTTAGATATGATGGCCCAGATTGACTCGTGACCAAGGGCCTGGATCCCATACATTTGCAGATTCCCACGTGGACTTGATTCTCGACAAAGACCTGCAAACAGCCAAGTGTGTGTGTCTGATCAATGGCCTGGGCTGGATCCATGTTGACTTTGACTCGTGAGCCCGAATTTCCGAGCTGCTGTTGACATGACTTGTGTTGTTGCATACTGTAACGGTGCAGACTAGAACAAGAACCGACCTCTCAATACAAAGTACAAGATAGCGTAGCGGAAGACTTAGATACCAATGATCCGAACAATCAATATTGCAATGCAGCCCTGAACATACATCATCATCATCGTTCCATGGTGTGAAAGGGGTCTGGCGCTTCACACAAGAAGACTGCGCCAGCCCCAACCATACACAGACGAAGAAGAAGGGGGTTAGACGAAGAGGAGGGAAGATGGGAATGTCGTCAACACCAAGTCTTCGGCACAGGCCCAAATAGTCCCTCGTCAAAATGTCTGAATCCCAAATGTCGAGTCTGGATCCAATGTCGTCAAGTCCGAAGTCACAATTCTCTCTCTCTCTGTCGTAGTCTGCTGATCCTGAGAAGTCACGTGGTGAGAGGGTGAGAAGAGATGGTGGACTTAGAAGAGGAAGAAGAAGAACTCTCTCTCTCTCTCTGTGCCCAGTACTAACCTGTGAAGTTGGCGCCTTGATGCAGATACCTCGAAGATGGAGCTGGAGCTATGGCGCCACAGGTAAGTACTGCTGGCCTCCGCCAGCCATCTCTCTCCAACGCTACCACTACCAGCTATAAGCGCCCTGCGCTGAAGACTACTCCTACAGCTATGAGCGCCCAGCGCTGAAGACTACTGCTAGCGCTAACCACTACTGCCAGCGCTCCTCCTGAGTGCTGCGGCTGAATCCTGAAGACTACTCGTCCTACTGTCCAACTACCTACCCGTGAAGTGCATGGGAACTCCTATGTACTACTCGGGTGCCTCCTGACTGCAGGCGAGGCAGTCCAGGAGGCTGCTCTTGCCAATGCCGAAGGGGGGCAGGGGCTGCCGCTGCAGCTCCTGCTTGAGCTGTCGTGGGGAACAGGCCATAAATARCCTGTTCCCGAAACCCTGTTTTTGTGCCTGAGTCTTAGGGTAGGTCGAACACAATGAGGGCCTGAAAATGGCCCTCCGTTTCAGGCTGAAAAGCCTCTGGGCCTGAAATAGGCTGAAAACGGAATAGGGCCTGTAGGCCCTCGTTTTTCAGTTTCAGGCTGAAACGACCGGGGCCTGTAAGCCCTATTTTCTAGGCTTTTAGGCTGAAAGTACGGGAAGGGCCCTGCAGGGCCCGTGTGGCTACGCAGTATGCCATACCCCCCCCTCCTTAAAAGATCGAGCTTACCTGCGAGGGCGAAGCTGTCTGTCTGAGGGAGGGACCACAGTCCGGATGGGAGGGGCCGGTCGTGAAGCTTCCTGAGCTAACCTTTGCTTCTCATAATGCGCGTAGATCAGCGGTGTGGATGCTTTCAAATCTGCTCCTGAAATCCACGGAGTGTCGTCGTGATCGCAGGATTTGAATGTAACTTTGTACTGTCGCGGCTTGCTGCCGTACTTGCGATCGGTGATGACGAGGTCAACGTCCTGATGACCATCCATAGAAGGAGGGTCCTGTGATCGTCGGCCTGGAAAGTCGTCGCTCTTAGTTGGAGTGTATGTTGCCAGCTTTGAGGCGTGAAAGACTGGATGGACTGTCAGATGCGGGGGGATGTTGATCACAAATGAAGGGCCATCGGGCTCATCGCCCGTGGCTGATGTTACGGGTCATGGTCCAAACCACTTGGGAAGCAGTTTGCGTGAGACATCCTGTTCCAGTGCAAACTCTTCCGCGGAAACCCAAACCAGGTCGCCGACGCGGATGGGACATGGCACGCGATGCCTGTTGGCTTGCTGCTGCATGCGGACTTGAGCCTTTTGCATGTTCGCGCGGGCTTGAGCCAGCAATTCCCTGTACTTCCGGATGGAAGCGGGAGAGCAAGCGGCATCGATGTCGGCCGGTTGTGGGAGGAGAAGGTCGGCGAAGATACGGCCTTTCCGTCCACCGTGGTGCAACTCGAATGGAGTCACGCCGATCGCCGGGTGCACCGAAGTGTTGTAGGCGAACTCGAGGTCGGGGAGGCGGTCAACCCAATCTTTCTGGTGCGGACGGATGAGCGTACGAAGCATCATTTGAGCGGTTTGATGTGCCCACTCCGTTTACCCGTCCGTCTGTGGATGCCGATCCGAACTTGGTTTCATCTTCGTGCTGGACTCCTGCATGAGAGCAGTCCAAAATGCCGACATGAAGCGAGTGTCGCGGTCACTGACTATGTCTTCTGGTACACCGTAGCCACAAATCCAACCGGTGTGCAAGAGGCCTGCCAGCTCGGGAGCCGTGGAGTAGTACTTGCAAGGGAGAAAACGCGCGTACTTACTCAATCGGTCCACGACCGTGAGGATGTCGTCGTGTCTGAGGCGGTCGCGGGGGAATGGTCCGGTGACATCCATGGCAATGGAGAGACCGGGTTCCTGCGGGATCGACATCGGCCGCATCTCGCCGTAGGGGTTGCGGTTGAGGGGTTTGCTTCGTCGGCAAACTTCGCATGAGTCGCAATACCTTGTGACGTCGGTGATGAGGTCGGGCCATCGGAATCGCTGTCGAAGCCGTGCAATAGTGCGGTTGACTCCGAAATGGCCGGCGAGTCGCGAATCATGATACTCACCGAGGAGGCGAGTTCGAAGACGGCGGTCGCGTGGGACACATAGTAAGTCCTTGCCCCGCGAGTGCAGGAGCAAGTACCCATCGACGATGCGATAGTGGCTGGCCGGTGGGTGATCCGAAGATAGCTGCGCATATAGCGTGGCGAAGTCTGGATCGGACTCATAGCCCCTGATGAAGTGTCGCTGGAGCTCCTCGTCGAATGCGAAGGCATGATGTGTCATAGCGCAAAGATCAGGTCTTCGCGAGAGTGCATCTGCTGCGCGATTGGAGAGGTCGGGAAGATGTTTGGTGTGAAGTCAAATTGGTCGATGAAGTACATCCATCGTATCGTGCTGCTCACCGTATCCTGCGTCTTGTAGTAAGTTAGTGGGTTGTTGTCCGTAACCCATGTGAACCTACGACGCCCAAGGAGGAAGTGCCGCCATCGCTTGAGAGCCATCACGAACGCGAGCAGCTCCTTCTTCCTTGCATTATCAAGCGAGTTGATGGGAGGCACTTTGTGGCTGAAATACTCCACAGGGTGCCAGTCGTCGCCGTCGTGCTGTTCCAAGACTGCCCCAATGCCATAGCCGGAAGCGTCCGTAGTCACTCTCGTCGGCAGGGTGGGGTCATAGATGCTAAGGACGGGTGCCATGAGCATGGCCGTCTTGAGTGCTTGGAATGACCGGCGTGCGTTGTCATCGAATATGAATGGCACCTTTGGCGATTGTAATCTCGTCATAGGTGCAATAATCCTTGAGTATCCAGTGATGAATCGCTGATAGTAGCCCGCCAATCCCATGAATGAACGAACGTCCGTGGTGTTGGTGGGCTCGGGCCACACTCGTAGGGCCTCGATCTTGTCCGCAAGCGGAAGGATGCCTTGCGGCGTCACATAATGTCCTAAGTACTCCAGCTCCTGCTGCGCGAATTCGCACTTGTCGCGGTTGGCTTTGTACTTGGCTTGTCGTAGCCGCTCCAAAATGGTGCGCAGGTGTTCCACATGCTCGTTCAAACTCCGGCTGTACACCAGGATGTCGTCGAGGTAGATAAGTACGTATCGATCCAGCATGTGTCGGAACTCCGTTGTCATAGCCGCTTGGAAAGTGGTCGGGGCATTCGTAAGGCCAAATGGCATAACCAGCCATTCGAAATGCCCATATCGCGTTTTAAACGCGGTCTTGTAGCGGTCCTCCTTGCGAATCTCGAGTTGGTGATATCCCGACTTGAGGTCAAGCTTGGAGAAGAACTTGGCGCCGCCCAGTCGTTCGAGAAGGTCATCGATGCGTGGGAGAGGGCCAGTGTTTCTGATCGTCTGCGCGTTGAGCTTGCGATAATCGATGCACAACCGCAAATCCTTGCTCTTCTTCCGGGCGAAGAGAACACGAGCGCCGTATGGCGATGAGCTAGGCAGTATCCAGCCTTTCTCTAGAAGGTCATCGAGTTGTGCCCGTAGCACACTTAACTCTTCCTCGCTCATTCGGTAGATGCAACCGCCCGGAGGTACGGCCCCGTCCTCGAGGATGATCTCGTGGCGGATGGGCCGATCCGGTACTACTCCGTGCGGGCCTTCAAACACGTCACCATAGGCGTCGAGAAGCTCGGTGATGAGTGGATCCGAAGATGAGTCCATCGGTGAAGCGTCATGGGGCGGGAGGGCGTGGAGAAAACACACCCCCATCTCCTCGATGTCGTCTCTAATGATGGAAGCTCGCATGCTTGCAGCGGATACCACGTGACAGTTGACTGAAGGGTGAGGAGGAGCTACCGTGCATGGGACTAGTACTCCGTTCCGATCACGAAYGTGAAYGGTGCGRCGGTAGAAGTYCACCGGGTGRTCCTCGCTTCGCAGCCATGACATGCCCAAGATCATGTCGAATTTGGTGTCCAGAATGTCAAAGGACACCGCCTCACTTGCGTGAGGGGCAAAGTACACTGGGACGTCATCAATGCACCGGTCGATTGACTTGTGCGTGTGATCGTCCGCCAACGTGACTTGCGTGGGTTGGGACTTCCTTCGGACTCGTGGGCCAAGGCCGGCGCGTACCATGAAGTCCTGACTCATGTAGTTGCGAGATGCTCCGCAATCGATCAAAGCGCTGCAGGTCGCCTCTCCGATCTGTAGCAATGGTGCGTCGATGTCGTCGTACCGTTGCGTTTTGAACTCGCGGTCGATCTTCGCAATGTAGGTGTGAAGGTCGACAACCTCTACTTCGGCATCCATTAACGGAGTTGGTACTGCAGTGTGCAAGTAATCCCGCAATTGTGCCTCGAGCACGTTGCAATGCGGTTTTGGCAATCGACCAGATTGGGGAAGGGGCATCCATTGGAAGTCCGCAAATGTCAACAGGTCGAGCTCTTCAAGTCTTGACCATGACGTTGAATCCCTGGCGGTAGATGGCGGCGAAGCTGCCGAATCGGTTGCCGATGGTGATGAAACCGTGCATGCGGTAGATTGTTGCACGTGGAGCGGTTGGTCCAGCGGTGGGACCAAGTGGACAGCATAGTCCTTGTAAGCATACCGAGAACTTACGACATTCGCATCCTCCCCAGATGTGTAGGAGGCCGCTAGCAAGGCGGCCGAATCTGGCGGAGTGGGAGGTGGAGTCGCCTCACCTCCCGCGAAACTCAGTTTCCCGAGTTAAGACGAGGCCGCACATCCCCCTTGGCCTGATCTTGGCAAAGGGAGGTCTTGTGCTTGGTGTTGTTGCACCAGTAACAGCAGTCGTAACGGCCGCGGTACTTGTACTCGGCCTCGGTCAAGTTGAACTTGACCCATGGTGCTGGCTGTCCGTTTTCGGCCTGCGATGCTGATTTCGCCTTCCCGTTCACTCGGGGCTTGTTGTTGCTTCGCCGGCTGGACAACAGCCACCTGATCTCCCTCACTTGACGCTTGGGTGGCTGCCGGGACTTCCACACTGTTGTCCGATTGGACTGCAGCGAACTGCTGCTGTCGCGGACCAGTCTTTACCTTCTCCACATAGGTTGGCTGCCACGCTGACCTATCGTGTGCAGCCGCCCTATTGGTCTTGATGATCTCCCTCGCCTTGTCAATGATCTCAGCGAAGGTTGCATACTGCTCGCGATCACCCAGTGCGAGGCTCAATGCAGCACATGACCTGTTATAGAACTCGCGGCGCAAATGCGAAAATGGTAAGTCCAGATTGGGTGTTGCCGCGATCTTCTGCCATTCCGTGAGCCAGTCACGTGTTGCTGTGTTGCCTTGCGTCATGGCGAAGAGACGGTTGATGGCGAGTGCAGGTGCGTCGTCCACGATGAACCGCTTCTTCCATAGCCGTGTTAACTCTTCCCATGAGATTTTGTCTTTCAGATCTGCGACGTCGACGTCGTGGGTGGATGTCAGGTGGCTTAACCAGATCTGGCATCCGCCCTTTGAGTTAAGAAATAGGGCGCCGACGTACGCGTGCTTGGCGACTTGCAGAATCCGAAGTTGCATCGTGAAACCTTCCCACCAGAGGACCGGGTCCTGATGCGTGTARTCATCGAACTTCTCAATTTGAAAAGTTTGCATTTTGTAATGCTGTGTGCTGTTGCCATTCTTGTTAGGCAGCTACAGTTGCTGGACTTCGGTCTTCAAGGTATCTAGCTGATTGCTGATGGTGGGTGGCTCAGCGAAGGTGCTGATGTCGCCGAGCATTGCGACGACGTGGTCGACGCGTTCCTCCAGTTGGCGGTTAGAGGGTGCACTGCTGGACACACCAGCATCTGGTCTTGGTACAGCTTGCTCCAGGTCCAGTACACGGGAATTGAGTGCCCGTGTAGCATCCTCATGGCTCTGCATTGTCCGGCGGAGGTTCGCCAACTCCTGGTGTTGTTTCTGCAGATCCTGGTATTGTTGTTGCAGTTCCTGGTTCTGTCTCTCTAACTCGGACTGTTGATAGTTGCAAGCGTATAACAATCATGTCACGAGTTTGGAGAGGAACTCCTTGTGTTGTTCCTCCGGTGTTGCGTCGGCGCCGTTGGACGGTTGAAAGTGTCAGAACTTGAGTCTTTCGATGCTGGTGGCTTCATGCCGCTGCAGCAGATCCTGGGCCTCCTTGCGGCGTGCTTGGGTGTCTGCGTCTGCTTCGGCCTGTAGCCGCTGCTTCTCAGCTGTTGCCGCTGCTTCAGCCTGTAGGCGGGCAGCCTCGGCTGCCAGCTGGCGCTGTTCCTCAGCCTCGATCATTGCGAGCTGAGTCTGGAACCGCTGTTTGTAGTCGGCAATAGACTCGTTGGCAAGTTGGCCTGGCATGCCTAGAGCTGCGCCCTTCATGGTGGCGGGGCACTGCTGACGTGGCACTGTTGCTTACGTGGCACTGTGACGTGGCACTGCTGACGTGGCACTGTTGCTTACGTGGCACTGTGACGTGGCACAGTTGCTTACGTGGCACTGCTGACGTGGCACTGTTGCTGACGTGGCACTGTTGCTGATGTGGCACTGTACCAACCCGGAAATGCATGCAAAGGGTGGGTGGGGAGGGAAAACGCAGGTAGGGAACCAACCCAACAATACTTTCCTCCTGGCCCTAATCAACAGATAAAAAAATAAATCAAATAAAAGAGGACTACTTCCTTTTTTTTTTCTTTTTTTTTTTGTATATCTGTCGATCTATTATGAGTGAGACATGTCAGAAGAGTACTATGAACGAGCTTTAGGCTAGGTTCCGCAAAGTTTCGGCTTTCACAAAATGCGATCTTGAAAAAGAAAAAAAAATTTGCGAGATAGAATAGAGATGCGATTGGAAGCTTTCAAACTAGCCTCAGAAATGAATATTAATTGGGGTAAAACAATCGGTCGGTGGCTATCTGAGGAGGAACCCCCCTTGCTCCAAGGCAACTAGGCGGCGATGACATGGCAAACGCCGGACACACCCACCCGCTATCTGGGCATGCTAATGACGAAGGAAGGATTGGCTCCCCAGATGGGCCCATCCTTGCTATCCAAACAAATCAACAAAATCGAAAGATGGGGCAATACCTTCATGTCCCTCATTGGCCGAGCACTAGTCCTCAATACATCGATCTTTTCAATGATGTGGTATATCGCGTCCATCTGGACAATCCCTGACAGTTCGCTTAAGGAACTGAATCGAAGAGCTAGGATCTACCTATGGACTGGAGATCCTAACAAGGAAAAAGGAATATCCAAGATCGCCTGGCACTACGTTACAAGAAGGACAAGTAATGGAGGCTTAGGAATTATCGACCCAGGAACAGAAACTAAAGCCTTGCAAATCAAATGGATCATCAAACTATTGATGAATCCAGACAGTGCATGGAATAAGCTGGCATTGGACAGTATAAGATCTGTGGCCCCAACTCCATCTCCTAACGATATAACAGGCCTGTTTTGGGTAATGAATAAAGAATGGGTAATAAACACAGGTCGCAGGAATCGAACGAGGAATAACAGGCTCGATGACCCTCGACCGCCCACACCGTACTGGTCGGCGTTGCTCCGATCCTGGAGGAAAATACTTCCCAACAAGACAAACAGACCCAAATCGAAGGATGAAGTACTAAGACAACCGCTTTTCGGGGATGATTGGATAAAAAACGAGGCGGACAACCCTCTCTTTCTAGAACAGAGATGGTTATCCTGGATCAAAAATGGTATCTGGAAAATCGACCACTTATGGGTGGAAGATAAAAAGGATTGTAAAAGGGCCTTTACCCGATATAGGCCTCAGGCCTTGTAAAAGTAAAGCAGCTCGGGCCTTGTAAAAGTAAAGCATTGTGAAAAGGTATCTCGCTAGGGCTCAGAAACGTGAAAGCAGGTCAAAGGTCAAGTTCTCTATCATCAGGCACATCTAGATCTAAAGCAAAGGGCATTGTCAAAAGACTTACCTGTTCACCAGGAGATGTGTATGTCATGTCTGTTCGGGTAAGAGTGTGTCTGTACGTGTAGGCAGTGTACCAGTTCGTGCAAAGCAAAGTGTCTGTTCAAGCAGTAAATGTGTCCGTTCGTTGAGAGTTGTGCCTGTCCGAAAGTAAAGTCAATAGGCACAGTCCCAGTTCTGGTCTAAGTCCAGGGGTCAGTCCAGATATAGACTTTCAAGTCCAAATTCAGGCCGGGAGGCCTCAGCAGCAGTTGAACTTCATTGGGACTCTACTGGGACACATGCAATGCAGGGTCTGGGACAAAAGGAAGGCTGGATTGAGCCAATGTAGACCCAGCGAGGAGTATAAAGGAGGCAGCCAGCCTCATTCCTTGCCAGATCTCCACTGGCTGTTTCAGCGTGGAAGTGCTGGAGCACTTGTGCGCTAAGTCGGTAGGAGCAGCGCTGGAAGAAGCAGATGCGCTGAGTTAAGGGAAGGAGATTGCACGCTGGAAGTGATGCAGCCATAGCTGCCCAGCAAGTTAGCATTAGTAGTAGTGGGTTAGTATGTAGCTATGAGTAGTATTCAGAGTAGATCCTCATGAATGAAGGGTGYGTATGCATCGTAGGAGGAAGGGATTGAGGYTGAGAGTGTTCATTCAAGGTTSGGCTATGGAAGATACTTACCTGAGTTGAATGTGGGCTGCAGAGGTGGCGCTGATGAGTGGTGACCACATTGATGACTTGGAGGTTATCTGCAGGAGTAGCGCTGATTCACGGAAAGTCATATTGATGAGCTGACAAGAGATTGGGGTTGCGCTGATGAGCGCTGGACTCAGGGGAACTTTGAAACACTTTGTATTCATATTTCTGATAATATAAGCTGTGAAACTCGGTCCTCTTCTTCTCTACCTTTGTCTATGGTTGATACTATTGATCGCTGCGTGTGAAGATGATGCATGATATGTACACATCTGCGTGAGATGGTCTCCAGGACCCATGCAATTGGGTAACAGAACAAGAAATCAACCCCCGTCTGAAAGGATGCCATAGACGAGGGACTAATCTCCAATTCTTACTCAGCTGCATCCCACAGGAATGGAAGGATATTCTGGCAAAAAATGAGCCCTGGAGACCGGGTGAGTGGGGACTAATGATTCAAGAAACAACACCCCCGCCAGCCTATCAATTCTCTCATTGGCAGCAGGGCTCACGCACTAAGGCAACCTTCCTCTCTTTCCCGATCTCCTCCTTCAACATGGGTGCGCTGAATATCCTGAATTGCGAAGTTGAGTCGTCTGTCTTAGATTTTTTCCTACTGCGGAAAGCAAGGGTCCTTGGAGCGTGGCCGAAATCAATATACAGGCCTGATACTACAATCCGCAACTTGGAGTTCGATCCAGCCGAATGGGCGTGTCTGCCAAGCAAGGTCTGCAACATAAAGACCAAAATCCCAATTCAAGACTACACAGTTAAACTGGGGTACAGACTGTCTCTAAAGACAAAAAATCCAGACCCCACTATCAAAAGCAGATGGCGGAAACTCGTTGGGCAAGAAGCAGACAAAATCACACGAATCCACTGGGACAAGTTTAAACGAATTAGTCCAATCAAGATTAGAAGCCTGCAGTGGCTGATGGCCTACGCAGCCCTTCCGGTGAACCAATGGCTACATATCACACGGAAGGCCACAGACCCCAACAGTTCGGAATTATGTACAATCTGCACGGAAGGTGTCGTAGAAGACTTAGTTCACTGCCTGATGCGCTGTAAAGAGGCTACGGAATACTGGGTCAGAGCGTCGTCACTCTGGGACTCCCTCTTCACTTCTCCTTTCCCCGACCAGCCCATCCAACTTCAACTCTTGACTAACATCCCTGCCCAGGCGCAAAAGGCAGAAAAGATCTGGTTTGAACTCATCAGGAAAGTGACCCTATGGGTCATTTGGAAGGAGAGATGCAGCAGAACAATCGAGGGGAGATCCAACCCACGGGAGAAGGTGTGGATAGAGACCAGAACACTGATACAAGCTGAGATCCTCTGCAGATGGCGAAAGATAAAACAAGTTTGGTCCGATGACGAAGAACAACGTAACAAAGAGAGGCAGAAATTCTACAGGGACTGGCTGATAAGTGGTAAGATTGCAGATCTGCGAGATGACCGAATACGTTGGAGGGAGTGGCACAACTGAGAGAGGCTTTCGCCAGCAGGTATCTCCTCAGGGCATTCTGATAGCCTAGCCCTTTACTCCAGGAAAAAGTCATTCCAAGGGACCAGCGGACACGTTCTGAGAGGATTCAAGCGAGAGGGCAGGACCTTATTGATCAGAGGCTATCAATGGAGCACAAAGACGACCCACTTGCAGGGGGTCTGGAAACGAACTAGGCAGGCCAATGCACAACTTCTTACACTGGCGGGATGCCACACTGATGAAGGGGTTTAGGGTTTAGGGTTTTTCTTGAGTCCTCTCAAAGGGCCAGAGAGGGTGCAGAGAAGACGAAGCCCGGCAAGGACATCGATTGGGAGACCGAGGAAAACAGACCTAGCTCCACCAGGATTCATACACAGACCGGACAACCCTACAGGTTATAATTGGATCCCAGCTCTCAACAGCAGGAGAAGGACACATCAAGGGACCAGGGGTCACGAACTGAGAGGATTCAAGGGAGAGAACAGGACCACTTTTGACCAGGGGTTATCAAGGGAGCTTAATCACGGGGACGACTGTCTCTCAGGGGGGCCGGAACGAACAGCACAGGTCAAGGTACAATTTCGTCCGACACACAGAGAAAGGTTTTTTTCTTACATGGAGGTGTG